GTGACCTGTGAATTAACCACATCCTGCCTCAAGGGTAAAGCTCCCACCGGGACTTTCAGGGACTAAATCAGGAACACCTTTTATCTCTACCAACACCCCCACCTTGAGATTTCTCTGCCCTCGAGCTGGGTGTAAAGGAGCACACCTTTAGCTCCAGGGTTTGACAGGCAGCTGTTTGGGAGATTCAGGCCAGCCTTGTCTACACAATGAGCTCTTAAATGTATACCTGGTTCCGAGGGCTGTGGATCAGAGGAGGGCTTTGAACCCCAGGGAACCAACTGGCCCTCTTGGTTGTGAGCCACTGTGCTGGGAACCTGACCCAGGTTCTCTGAAGGAGCAGCAAAAGCCACCTCTCTAGTTCCCTGTGTTTTTATCCTATCAACCAGCATCGTACCTGTGCTTCAGAAACTACCTTACGGTCTCACATTTACTAAAGAAAAGTTCCTTAGATAAGAATAATTTTCCAGGTGGTGGTGACACCCCTTTAATCCCAGCACTCAGGGTGCAGAGGCCTGAGGATCTCTGTGAGTTCAAGGCCAGCCTGGTCTACAAGAGCTAGCTCCAGGAAAGGCAGAAAGAAAGAAAGAAAGAAAGAAAGAAAGAAAGAAAGAAAGAAAGAAAGAAAGAAGGAAGGAAGGAAGGAAGGAAGGAAGGAAGGAAGGAAGGAAGGAAGGAAGGAAAGAAAGAAAGAAAGAAAGAAAGAAAGAAAGAAAGAAAGAAAGAACAGAAAACAGAAAAAGAATAACTTGGCCAGGTGCGGTGCAGACCTTTCCGGCCAGCACTGGGGAGGCAGAGGCAGGCAAATCTCTGTGAGCTCCAAACCAGCCAGGACCGCAAATAGTGAGACCCTGTCTCAAAACAAAACAACTAAATAGTAAGTATACCTTGGTGGTGGCTTACCTGTAAGTCCCTGTGCTAGCGAGGCAGTGAGTCCAGGGTGTCAGGATAGGCCACTTGGGTTTGGGGTCAGCAGACATTACAGAAGAAGCAGCCTCAGCAAACAGGAGTGGAAAGACTCCCTGGGCTCTCTGCCCTGGTTGGCTGAGATGTGAGGGTCCCAGCCCTGTGCTCCCACAGCCTCACGCTCTGCTGCTACACCTTCTCTGTGCCTCCCCAGGACCTTCCTAAATCGAGAGCCATGAATAAAAAAACCACAAAGGGACGGGTCGTGTTTGCAAAGCCGACACCCACGTGCTCCCACGTCTTCCTGAGGGTCTTTCTCCCAGCCTTCAAGCTTTAGCCTATAGTAAAATATCCAGCTCAAACTCCAAATCTGCATAATAACAACAGTGGGGCTGAGAGCTCAGGGAGAAGGAATTCTATTCCCAGGATTGGCTCCTGACTCTAGCTCCAGATCTGAAGGAAACCCTCTCCTGACTCCAAACACATGCAATATATACTCTTACACATATACATAATTTTTTTTTAATTTTATGTGCATTGGTGTTTTGCCTGTGTGAGGGTGTTGGGTCCCTTGGAACTGGAGTTGCAGACAGTTGTGAGCTGCCATATGGGTGCTGGGAATTGAACCCAGGTCCTCTGGGAGGGCAGCCAGTGCTCTTAACCACTGAGCCATCTCCCCAGCCGCAATTTAGAATTTTTTTTAAATGTATGTTCTCACATGGGACAAGACATCACATTCTTAGATTTCTCCTCTGCATTCCTGGTGGCATAAAAATCAAACAGCCTCAGGTGTTAACTTACTTAGCAAGTGGGGTTTCATCTTGTGTGCCGCAGGAGAAAGAACACGGGGCTGATGAGCCCAGTCAGCAGGCGAAGGCTGTGGAAACCTGAGTTCGATTTCTGGGCCCCGTTCGAAAGGAGTGTGGCGCTTTCACAACTTGCTCCTAGCCTCCACACACAGACACACAAAACTCAGTGGAACCTTAAAGATAGAAATCAAAATAAAGCTACTATGAACTGGACAGGTTATGGCACCTCGGGTGTTTGCTTGTTTGCTTGCGTTGGTAGGGCTGGGGCCTGACACCACAGCCGCGTTCCTGCTGGGCGGGCTCTGTACCACTGGGCGCACTAGCGATCTTCCTCTGACTTCTCCAATGCAATTCTCCGGAAGCAATTCCTCAGTAGGAGTAGCTGAGGGCAGATCGTTGGGTCCAAGGTGCTGGAGAGCAAACGGTAGTAAGCCTTCAGCTCGAGCACAGGTGGCCCGGGCTCCTGTCTGGGACTCACAGAGAAGGTTAGCGCTGAGTGCTAGAGAATTTGCTTCTTAACCAGATCCAGCTGGTCAGAGCTACGGCTTCCAATTTGCATACCAAAGAAGTTAGCCATGGCCTGTTGTTAAAGTCTTTCGGAAACTACACTGGAAAAACTACTTGATTGAAGTATTAAAAAATGATCTAACCATCCTGCTGGGATTGTGCTCTTATGAGCCCAGCCTTGTGGGAGGTGCAGGAGGCAGAGGCAGGAGGATTCCAGCACTGTCAAAGCCAGTCGGTTGAGTTCCAAGCTGCCTGAGGGCATACAATAAAGGACCTTGTCTTAAAGAAAAAACTGGCTGTAGTGGATCGTGATTTTAATCTCTGCACTCGGGAGCCAGAAGCAGGCAGATCTCTTAGAGTTTGAAGCCAGCCTGCTCTACAGAGCAAGTTCCAGGACAGCCATTGCTAAACAGAGAAACCTTGTCTTGAAAAACCAAAAAGAAGGAACAAAACAAGAGTTGTGGGAATTTGAGGAAGCTCTCTTGAGTTTGAGGCCAGCCTGGTCTATACAGTGAGTTCCAGGTCTATCCTATCTCAGAAAAAAAAAAAAAAAAAAGCAAACAAAGGTTCCTGATCATCCCGGCCACTTACTGAGAGACTGTGCTGCGTCTCTTTTTTTGGGGGGGTGGGGTCGGGGTCTCGAGTCAGGGTTTCTCTGTAGTTTTAGAGCCTGTCCTGGAACTAGCTCTTGTAGACCAGGCTGGCCTCGAACTCACAGAGATCCACCTGCATCTGCCCCCCCCCCCCCCGCCCCCCCAGTGCTGGGATTAAAGGCGTGCGCCACCACCGCCAGGCTCGTTGTGTCTCTTTTTTAAAAAGTTGCAGTGGGTGTTGTTGCCTGACTTTAACTTTAGCACTTTGGAGGCAGAGGCAGGAAGATCTCTGGAGTTCGAGGCCAGCCTGCGATGCATACTGAGTTTCTGGACAGCCAAGACTACACAGAGTCTTGAACAGCAAAAGAGTTATATATTATTAAATGTGTCATCTATAAAACAATTCACAATTACATGTGCTTAAACTCCATGCTTAAATACATATACTGCCATAAACTGTCAGCTTACTTAAGGGAGTATAACATACACGCTTATTCCCTTGCATCACAAGGCAAACAGCTCCGAAGATTTTAGATGAGACAGGTAAAGAAAACGTTCTAATCAGCTTGATGAGGGACTAGCATAGAACAGTGTGCTCACTCCAGGACGTTTAAATCCGTTCACCCATCACTAGCCACCTCCGAGAATGTAAGAAGCAAAACAAAATCCCTGATATTTCAGGAAACCAAGGGAGACTCTAGATAAAATTTCCAGTCCTTTTTTTTTTTTTTTTTTTAGGTTTTTGAGACAGGGTTTCTCTGTAGCTTTGGTGAACTCACAGAGATTCACCTGCCTCTGCCTCAGCCAGTGCTGGGATTAAAGGAGTGAGCCACCCCGGTTTACTTTTTTTTTTTTTTTTTTTTTTTTTTGTAGAGGGTTAGTGTTTCGGGCAGATCAGAGGAAGAGTTTAACCGACAGCATTCACCTTTAACTCAAGGCGTTAACACTTAATCACTGCTCATTAGCATTAAAATAGCCTGGAGGGTTGGTTTACTTGAGTTTAAAAGGAACCCAGACCTCACCACCTGCTCACTTCGCCTCTGCTGGTGAGTTTGGGTCTCAGTCTTCTCCAAAACTAACCAGTTTTATTTGGAGCTAACTGTCAAGGCTTCTGCTCGTCGCCATGGAGAAGCCATCAGAGGAGTTCGACCCATCAGAAGAGTTCGACCCATCAGAGGAGGTGGTCGACCCACTCGTGGACTCGGAACCTTCTCTGACGGATGAACAAGACTCCTCAGATGATTCGGATGATTCGGGTAAGCCAGCCTTTTGGCCCCGGGGTTTGGGGAAGTCAGTAGGTGGCCAGCCACCATTTCTCATCTTCCAAGGTGGGCAGGCGGCTAGTACCTGGGGCCCCAGCACTTGTAGATGGGGGACCAGGAGTTGCAGGCAAATTAATAGCCAGTATGGGTTACTGGACCCTGCCATGGGAGACGCAGGGTCTCTGTGTAGCTCTGGCTGGCCTATAACTCCCGGTGTAAACCAAAGGTGTGGGCAGGTTTCCGTGTTTTCTTTTGTTGCCGCTTTTTTTCAGCACAGAAATCCTTTTTGCTTAGTTGAGACAGGGTCTCACTATTGTTTGTACTGGGTATATACGCTGGAACTCTTAAATATTTTTTTACTCTTAAGTGCATTGATTTTTTTTGGCTTTATGTATGTCTTGTTTTTTTTTTTTTTTTAAGTTTTTTTTCGAGACAGGGTTTTTCTATAGCTTTGGAGCCTGTCCTGGCACTAGCTCTTGTAGACCAGGCTGGCCTCGAACTCACAGAGACCCGCCTGCCTCTGCCTCCCGAGTGCTGGGATTAAAGGCGTGCGCCACCACCGCCCGGCTCATGTATGTCTTGTTGGAGGGTGTTGGCTCTCCTGCAGTGGGGTAACAGCTGTCAGCTGCCATGTGGGCGCAGAGAATTGAACCTGTGTCCTCTGGTAGCGCAGCCATCTACAGCCCAGTCCTGGATCTTTTTTGTAGCCTAACCTGGCCTCAAACTGGATCCTCGTGCCCCAGTCTCGGCCCCTAGAGTGCGCTAGGACTAAACACGGCTCTGCTGCAGGCTTATATTTTAAACACAGGAATCTTTTGGTTTTCGAGATTGGGTTCCTCCGTAGCCCTGGGTGTCCCAGAACTAACTCTGTAGACCAGGCTGGCCTCAACTCAGACCCGCCTGCCTCTGCCTCTGCCTCCTGCACGCGGGGACTAAAGGCGTGTGCTACAGCCCAGCTACACAGGAATCTAAAATTTTACTTGAACCTGAACTTCTTCTTATTCTCAACCATTTTCTGGGAGCGGCTTTTCAGCTAAATTTCCATTTCTGGTGAATGGCTTAAACAGGGGAAATAGCCCAGGATGGCTAAGCCAAACGTTCCTTGCTGGTAGTGGTGGGAGGGGCGGCCGGCTGCAGGTGTAGCTCCTGCCCCAAACGACCTCCAGGTTTGCCATCAGGCCCTCAGGCTATGGTCGAGGGGCCCTTCCTTGCTCTTCTAGTTCCTTCTACACCCGAGCTGAGAGGAAAAGAAATGTTTGCCCTGATGTGCCTGCCCTCCCTGACAGTTAACATGTGGCCTCCTGTGGTACCTGTATGTTTAGAAGCTTTATTTTCTGAAACTGTTGCCCCTAACTGGCCTAAAACTCCCTGTGTGTAGGCCAGGTTATACCCAAATTCTGTCAATCCTGTCTGTCCCAAACCTGGAAATGAGGTGAGCTACTATGGCGTGACTCAAACTCAATGACACTTGTGGCGAGTCTGTCCTCTGGGTGTGAATGATTTGGATGGGAAGAACAGGATTGGCTTGGCCACAATCCCCTTTCCACAGAGTCCGACAAGAAGCATGGGATGACTCAAACTAGATTTAGGTGGGGGCTGGAGAGATGGCTCAGAGGTTAAGATGGCCTGCTCTGCCAAAGGTCCTGAGTTCAATTCCCAGCAACCACATGGTGGCTCACAACCATCTGTAATGAGGTCTGGTGCCCTCTTCTGGCCTGCAGGCATACACGCAGACAGAATATTGTATACATAATAAAAAAATAAATATTTAAAAAAAACCCTAGATTTAGGTGGCAAGTTAGCCAGTTCTTGGAAGGGTTCCAGAGCCCCACCTGGGCAAGCCTGGAGGGCCAAGCCACATTCCCATAATTGGCTTATGGTGCAGAGTCTCTGGAGTGTGAGTTCCTGCCCTTGAACGCAGGTCTCAGAACTTCTGCACCTAGAAACGGACAGTTGGGCCCCTGGAACAAGGCCGTATGTGGAACAGCAGTGGTAAGAAGTCAGTGATCCGCTACACCAACGCTGGGGTATCTATCTGCCTGGGGTTTATGACCGCATGCCCTGCGCACATGAAGTACCCTGGTTGGCGCCTTGAGCAGAGTGAGGGTCTGCTCTGCCCGGGGTATTGCTTTGGAGCGTGGTGCCCCTCGCAATAACGACTCGTCACCTTCTGCCGTAGGAATCTCCCAGCCAGACAACTTAGAAAAGGACATGAGAAAGCTGACCATCGACCCCAGTGCCAAGAAGCCTCCTGCTGCCCTGGCAGGACTTAAACTTCAGCGCAGCCGCAGCAGCCGCAACCGCATCCTCCACCGAGCAATTAAGATGAGACATGTCGAGACCAAAAGTGAGAAGATCTTGAGGGAGGTCCAAAGTGCCTTTCCCAAGAGAAGAGTCCGCACACTGCTGTCTGTGCAAAACAATCCTGTCGCGAAGATGAAGCGATTTATGCGGGTGAGTTGCATTTGTGGACAGAGCTATTATTAGCAATGGTAACCTATGGGGAGTGACACCTGAATTCCCACTTCAGTCTAGACTTAGAGTCAAGGTAGTGACTGCACAGCCTCAGGCCAGCCTGAGCTATCTGCAGTTAAGTCACTGGAGTCTCACTGTAGCCCAGGCTGGCCTCCAATTAATTCAATCTACAAACTTGCCCCTCATCCTCCTCCAGTGCTGGGATAACAGGGTTTGGGGCTACCTTGCCAGGCTAACTTAGACTGGATCTTAGAGCCACATAGCTGGCCTGTTGTGGTGTAGACCAAAAACTTGGGGGTGGTCCTCCTGTTTGTTTAACAGTGCTGCCAGGGCCTGGCTGTGGTGGCACTTGGGAGGCAGAGGCAGGCTGATCTCTGTGAGTTTGAGACCAGCCTGGTCTACAGAGCTAGTTCCAGGACAGGCTCCAAAACCACAGAGAAAAAAAAAAAAAAAAAAAAACCAAAACAGTGCTGCCAGGAGCAGGGTCTCACAGAGTAGATGTTTTAACTTTGTCTTGATAAAATTAAGTAATTTTGGTTTTGTTTTTCCCATGAAGATTGAAAAGAAACTAAACAGCAGCAATGATGGAAATGTGGTAACTAACTTTTTCTTGCTAGTACATGTTGGTGGGTTGGGTGCCTGTTTTATTGTTTGGTTTGGAAAAGGTGTGTTTGTGGGGGGGGGGTGATCAACCCTAGGGTACTTAAACAGTTAAGGATTTATGTTTCTTTGGGTTGCAATATCCTGGTTTACCTATTGCATTATTTCTTCCAGTTTAACAAAGCGCAACCATTCAAATGCATCTGCACTTTCTGCCTGTACAATGGCTGGGACCCTTCTGAGAATGCCAAAATTGGAAAAAAGGGACCATCAACTCAGGGCTAAGTTGTGTGCTGCCCTTACGGCTGATAAGGCCATGCAGCCGATGTGAAAGGGTTTGCTGTTGTTTTTAAGATTAAACTGCAATAGTGAGTGATAAACTGCAATAGTTCTGTGATAGTTTTATTCTTTTTCCGGGTGCTGGGTGACCTTTCCACGCTTGTTACCATTACACGATATATAGAATATATAGGATATATAGGATATATAGAATATATAGGATATATAGAATATATAGGATATATAGAATATATAGGATACATAGATATATAGGATATATAGATATATAGGGTATATAGATATATAGGATATATAGAATATATAGGATATATAGACTATATAGGATATATAGAATGGAAGTTTGAATGCATGTGAAGGAATTTAATTTAACCTAAAGAATCAAGAATGAGTCTCGGCTTAACTCAAGTCTGGGGTTAAGTTCAATAACTTGAAAGAATGTCAATAGAATTTGGGGGTGTTGTGGTTTAGAAGGTAATAATTGGAATAGACCTTTGGGTTTTCTTGTTCGCAGAAATTTGTAATAAAGGCAATCTTGTTATCCTAATTTTTAGTACTAAGTATAGAGAACAAATTAAAGTAGATCACTAGAGCTTACGTTGGAGTTCATTTCTCATGTATTCATTTACTGGATGTGTGTGTGGGCATGTACGTTCCACAGTGCGTATGGAGGTCAGAATAACTAACTGGTCAGTATTTTTCATACTTGGTATTAATCTCAGGTTGTCAGGTCACCAGGCTTCTTGGCTACAAGCACCTATTCCCACTGAGTCATCTAGATGGCTCCTTGTTTTGTGTATGTGTGTGTGTGTGTATGTGTGTTTGTTTCATGGTGACAATTGTCAGGGGTCAGTTTTCTCCTTGTGAATTCTGGATACAGGAATATTAGCAACCTGATAGGTTTGAGACCTATCTTAATATTCAGCCCTGGTTGGCACTCATTCTGTAGACAGGGAAGAGAAGGTGGGGAGCAAATTGAATAGAAATCTTTCCTGGTATATCTAGGGTCTTGGGGTTTAGAAGTGTACTACCAACCCTACTTATTAAGATAGGGTCTCCAGGAGAACTAGCTCACCTTTAACTACTGGTCTTGCCTCTAGTCCAAGTTTTCTAACACAGTAATGTGTCAGATCTGCAAAAAACGCCTTATCGATAAAATTTTTTCAAGACAAGGGTTTCTCTGTGTAGCCCTGACTGTCTTGGTACTTGCTCTGTAGACCAGACTGGCCTTGAACTCACAGATCACCTGCCTCTGCGGAGATTAAAGGCATTCACCACCGCTTCCTGGTTTACCAATAAATTCTCAGGTACAAGTATGTGGCATTGTATTGTGACTGTCGCTAGGTGACAACCAGAGCACAGTATTTTCATGCTTTGTCAAGAAAGGAACTAGGAAGAGGGCCCCAGGAACTTGCTAGGCAATATGATATGTATACAAGATTTCTCTTGAAAGATCTAGGTGAGTCTAGGTATCTTGATTATAAACTCCTAGAGATTAGCTCTGTGTGGTTGAAGCCACCACTTCAGATGTTACAAGCCCAGGGTCCGTGACCTGAGCACCCAGCTGAGCAGCTGTGGATCACAATCTCACAACCCCTCCTCTGGAGGAGAGCTGATTGCTCGAGCAGATTCTTAAGGATGTTGCAAAGGATGGGCAGCCAGGTGGATAAGACGTACTGGGGCAAAAGTCCAGGAGGAGGCTGCACTAGTGACCCCTGGGTAATGTTCTGCAACTTCAGACAGGAGGTAGAGGACATCCTGCTGGAGTTGTCTTCCTGACCCTGTCAGGGTAGCATGCTTGGTTAGCTCAACCCCTTGGCTTACCAGCCAGCTCAGCCAAAACTTACTCCTATATCAGAGGAGCATTACAAAGAGGATGGATTTCATCCCTTACCATTAGTTGATAACCCTTGCAGCACCCAGAAGTGCATTTCCTAAACTGACCTTGAACTTCTGATCTTCCCCTGTGTCTAATTGGGACTACTGTAGAGATGAGTTTACTGGGAAGATTGCTCTATTTAACAGTGTCTTACTGCTGTGCCTAAATGAGCTATAATAGGTTTGTACGTACGCCGAGGAGTGAACAGTGTAAGAGTCAATGTTTCCATGCATCCACTGGGGGCTGGACTATCCTTTGTAGGTAGGGAAGCTACTGCACACAAGAAATGGCAGGTCAGAGCCCAAGACAGTCAACAGTGTCACAGGAGGGGGTGTAAGAGCATGGGGTCTTGAGACCCCATGTACACAGACTCAACCTGTAGGTGTGTGTGTGTTGTCAAAACCAGGTTCGCAAGTGGTTCAGACATGCAGGCAGAACACAGTACACAAAGGCCATGCTGATGACAGCTAAGGAGTAGCTTTTGCCTGTTGGTATCCAGAAAGGAGGGTGGACCGATTAGCACTAGTTACTGGAATTCACTATGTAGACTCCGCTGGCTTTGAAGTCAGATTCATCTGGGACCAAAGGTGTGTGCCAGTGTGCCACCACCTCTCCACCCCAAACTCACATGACTTTGTTTGGTTGGTTTCTTTTTTTTTTAATATTTTATTATGTATACAACATTCTGCTTCCGTGTATGCCTGCATGCCAGAAGAGGGCGCCAGATCTCATTACTGATGGTTGTGAGCCACCATGTCGTTGCTGGGAATTGAACTCAGGACCTCTTGAAGAGCAGCCAGTGCTCTTAACCTCCGAGTCATCTCTCCAGCCCTTGTTTGGTTTTTTTGAGATAGAGTTTCTCTGTGTAACAGTCCTGGCAGTCCTGGAACTCACTCTGTAGACCAGATTGGCCTCAAACTCAGATCCACCTGCCTTTGCCTCTCAAGTGCTGTGCTTAAAGGCGTGCTCCACCACCACCTGGCTTTCTTTTTTTCTCATGACTTTTTAACCTCTAAAAAAGTATTTTAGCTTGTAAAGCTGCAAGACTACGCCAATGAGTTTCTGGGTACCTTCTACTCAGAGACATGGATCTGTGGCCATTGCCCGCTTCCTCAAAGATGTTCTAGGGGGGGTTGCTAGAAAGGAAGCTGAGGGGGCTGGAGAGATGGCTCAGAGGTTAAGAGCATTGCCTGCTCTTCCAAAGGTCTTGAGTTCAATTCCCAGCAACCACATGGTGGCTCACAACCATCTGTAATGGGGTCTGGTGCCCTCTTCTGGCCTGCAGGCATACACACAGACAGAATATTGTATACATAATAAATAAATTAATAAAAAAAAAAGAAAGGAAGCTGAGGAATGAATCTGAAGAGTGATGTGATTTTAATTTGATCCCTATCATCCAGATGGGAAGGAGGGACCTGATTACTTCAGGGTATCCTCTGACGTCCATATGTGTATACATACACAAACAAACACATGCATGCACACACACACACAATGAAGGGAAAGTTTTATTAGATTTGGAACATCTTGCATAGGGGCAGTGCCACAGCATTCTGAGAGGGGGAAAAGAAAGCCTTCAGTTTCAAATTTCTCCTACAGGGGGCTGGAGAGATGGCTCAGAGGTTAAGAGCACTGACTGCTCTTCCTAGAGGTTCTGAGTTCAGTTCCCAGCAACCACATGGTGGCTCACAACCACCTGTAATGAGATCTGGTGCCCTCTTCTGGCCCGCAGGCATCCATGCAGACAGAACACGGTATACATAATAAATAAATTTTCTCCTACAGTGTGTGTAAGGGGTGTTTCTGTATGTAACCTAGTCTACGGGCTCAGTCAAGGCAGGAAGAGAGCAGATAAAAGTGAGTGTGTCCTGCCAGCACACCGTGGCATGTGTGCCTGTGGAGGTCAGAGAACAATTTGAGGAGTTGGTTTCTCTTGGATCTCGCTTTCAAGGAACTTTTTCCAATGGTTAAATGTGGGCAATGGCCATAGGCATTTCTTTGGCTGTAGTTTTCCCCACATACTGGCTTGCTGACACCTATGGGTTTTGGTGATGTCTTCAGGAAGAATATGGTCAGAGTGGCTGGCCTGTGTTTGTGGCACCAAACACCTCCCTTTAGTTTACAAATGTTATTTCAATACTCTCCCCCAAGCATACCTTGAATGTTGCTCTATCTGGTGCTCTATGGCTTTGAAATTTAATTACTCACTTTTGCATAGTGGATTAGGAACCCAGAGTCTTTGTACACACTAGGCTAGCGCAGTCCACCACTGAAGGAATTCCAGAACAGATTCTCTTGTAGCCCAAGCTGGCCTATGTAGCTGAGGATGATCTTGAACTCCTAATCTTCCTGCCTCCACCTCCACATGCTGGGTCCACTGGCATGCCGTCACACACCGGAAGTAGTTCTGCTTTCTCTTTAGGATCCAAACAAGTTCCTTCCATTGGGTCCCTTTCATTCCCTTGCATTTTTATTGAAGTAACCAAGCCAGTTGTTTGACAAAACTCCCTATACTCCGAATTAGTCCAATTTCATCTGTTATGTAACTGAGGCTGTCTAGAGGTGCTAGTTAAACAATTAAAAGGCAGGAAAGAATTACCAGGTGGTGGTCCACTCCTTTCATCCCAGCACAGAGGCAGGCGGATCTCTGAGACAGAGAGGACAGCCTGGTCTACAGAGGGAGTTTCCAGGACAGCCAGGGCTACACAGAAAAACCCAGTCTTGGAAACTCCCCAACCCCCCACCCCCATGGGGAAAAAAAAGTTAACCCGAAGTCTTGGAGATCCATTTTATGATACCTGGAACCACAGTCCCCTGTTGAGATTCTTTCTTTCATTACTGAAAGAATTTACGAATGGTCAAAACAGGGGCTTCAGTACAACTAGAGTTTGAAAGGTAAAACAGAACAAACCCCAGATTAGACAGGCTGTAAATCCTGCAGGCACCAGGAAGCCAGGTGGAGGATGGAAGACAAAGCAAGAGCCGTGCAGCTGAGGCAGGGCGCCCCCAAGTGTCTTCCCGAGTCTGGTTTCAGAAAGTTAAGCTGACCAGCCGAACCTCAGAGTGGCTGGGTGGGCTAGGGTGGGGTGAGGGGGGCCCAGAATTC